ATTTAGTATGGTCTGATAAAACCTTTTTTTCGGTAGTTATGCATCGCCCACTTTCAACGTAAAGTAACTCTAGGGCTTTCTCACTAATTTTAACCGTAAATATTATGTCAGGTCGATCTCCAATTGCTGAAGCTTTTGTATTCGTTGATTTATAATCTTGATTGGCTTGACTTTGCAGTTCTCCTCTAAAGAACACAAATGTCAATAATACAAATGTTATTAAAAGAATTTCTTCATAACGTACTGATATAATAATTAAAATTACTTTAATATGCATGTAACATCCACTAGAAGATCATCCAATGCTACAGAAAGAAGCGGTTCTATAACTTGCATCAGAAAGTTTCTCTCGGATTGATTTTTATTCCAATCCTTACTCAATTTCCAAATATTATTTCTAAAAAAGAATCATATTTAGTATTTTTTTATTCTTATACAGATAATTTTGATAATACATACAAACACTTGATAATGCATCGAGAACATTTCTTTCGCGACTCTAAATTTTCTACCCATTGACCCAAGGAGGCTACAGAACTTTCAGAGATAATCTATTTAAGAATGGTATTGTTTTGAGATTCTTGAATAACACTCTTACATTCTTCTACCACATCTTCTTCCAATTCCAAATTCTTCGAAAACACTCCCTATTATAATTGATATAGTTAGTTTTCACATCTATATATTAACCAAAAATTTACTTACTTTAGCAAAATTAATCATGATATTTTTGAATTCACTTGCCTACTTGGAGGTAATATCTATGACTTCCATACTCAACGAATCACTACAACAAGGACGACCCCACTTCAGGAAGATTTAAAAAATCTAGGTTTCCCTACTGAATCGTGGTTGTTGTAGTTAAGCACTTGCGATTAAAATACATTCTTACTGGACTGTGGTTGTTTAAGATCAGATCTTTAACTCATCATTTATGTGAAAATAACAGAAGTTTATAAAAACATGCTTATGATTTCAGGAGGAGTTTTTTTAAGAAGTAATAGTTTTTCTTTTCTTTGGTTTTCAAGTAATTCATCTTGCAAAGCGTACTCGATTGCATCATAAAATTTGTTAGCTTCCTTTTCTTCATCACCAGTCCACAGTTTTAACTCAATTCTATGGTAAAAAATAAGTGCTGGCTCAAGTGACTCGAAAGATAGACTTTTTAGATCGTAAGACATATTGATCAACTTGTGAAATAGAATACAGATGGTCTGTGTTTTTCCAAATTTGCGGGTCGGTTAAAGCGGAGCCAGGTTTAGGGTTACCTTTTTGATGCAGTTAAAGTGAGCAGGTTATATAAATATCAAGAATGCAACTTATGCAGTATGTAGATCATATATTGAATTCGCTCCGCTTTAACCGACCCCCAAATTTGAACAGTATCGATCATCGATCATATGTTTCTGGATACCAGAGTTATGAATCAATCAATCACATTATATTTACTAAAGTTCGAATTAATTCTACCGAAATTATGTTTACCAGAACTACCCCAGTGGCACCAACAGATTTTCACTGATCGACAGCGATTGACCAATTAGATTACAAGATCAGGCGTAACGTGAAAACCTTCTGCGCATTAGTAAAAAAATTTCTTTGCGAAATTTTAGTATAAAACAAGCCTTTTAATGTATCGTTTTATGACTTTAAAAAAATTGTCGATCAGTGAAAATCCATCGGTACCACTGGAGTAGTGGTTGCGAATTAAATTCTACCAAAGTTATGAATTAATTTTACCAAATTATGTTTACCAGAGTTACGAATTAATTCTACCAAATTTACAAAAATTATGTTTACAAAAATTATGTTTACAAAAATTATGTTTACAAAAATTGTTTACAAAAATTATGTTTACAAATTATGTTTACAAAAATTATGTTTACAAAAATTATGTTTACAAAAATTATGTTTATTAGAGTTACAAATTAATTCTACCAAAATTATGTTTACCAGAGTTACGAATCAATTCAACCAAAATTATGTTTACTAGAGTTTAGAGTTGTTAACTTACATGTAAGTTACTGTAAACTTACACTCTAACTTACCTGACTTACGTAAATTACAGTAATTTACATGAAACTTACAGTAACTTACATGTAACTTATCATGTAAAGTATGTTGTCAGGTAAGTTTTAACAACCCTACCAGAGTTACGAATTAATTGTTGTCTCCATATATGTTCTATAATTCTATTTTCTTTAAGTCTTTTTAGTAACAGGTTTCTTTCTATTCGTTTGTATTTTCTTTGTTGTTCCGATTCTGGAAATTGCTGGCTACACATAATTTTTTAAACTTAACAATAACTGATGCAATCATAAATGAATTATACGTCATAGTATTTCAGCATCAGTGGATGCTGAAATAAGTCATATGATTAATCAGTTAAGTATCAATGTTAAAAAGTCTCAAGCCTTTTTTATTTAAATCTACTAACGTTATATAATATCGATGTTAGTCATTCAATTGACAACAAATTGAAGTTTATGTTATTTAATTGAATTTTAATTTTAATTAATCACATGATTTATTTCAGCATCCACTATTGCCGAAATATACATGTGACATACGTTAACACCAACCATTAACACTAATATTAGAGTGACGCAAAGATAAATTAAAATTTTGATATTATTTAACATACAGATACTTTGATACGTAATTTATATCTACGTATCACATGTTTTTTTTATCAAGTCTGAGTTATGTTTTGTATATAAGAATAAATTCTATCTCAAAATTTTTAAATATGAATAATTGTTAATTTATAAGTTTAGAATCAATTAAATCTTGCCCATAATATACATTGAAGTATTTTTGTTAAAACTTGCCAAAATCTACATTGTTTCTTGTGAAAACTAAGTGGCCATTCATAAGTTGTTAAACATTTGGAAAGAAATTTTTTTGTACGCTCAAAGCAACAAAAAAATATGCAAGTGTACTATAATTTCAAAATTCGCCGAGAAGTTATTTTATCTAAAAAAATAAAATAGGTGAGCTTTATTTATTTAATAAAACTAACATTCAGATATGAACAATGTCAATATTGAATCGCTCCAATATAACCTAGACCCTAGGATGTTATATCTATTCTATTTACATCAATAACTTATAAATAAATCTACTCAGTGGTATTAATTCAATACTCACATGTTTAATATTATTTTCAGGAAAAGATTTCTTGTACTTTAGGCTGTTTAAAGTTGATTATTAGGTTAACGTCAATATTTTGGGCTCAGGCATGAGGGGAGGTGAAATTTTAAACAAACACATATATTTCAAGGCTTACGCCACGATTCCCTACTTGACGTCATATATATATACGTGCAACTGATCCAACGCTAATCCCAAAGAAGCAATTTCTGAGAAATTGAGGGTTAGTAATGGGAAAATAAATTTTCTCAATAAGCTTACGTTAAAAAAAAATAAATAAAAAATTAAGCTTATTGGTCAGGTGAACTACAATTATCACATGACAATCAATATCATCTGATTTGCATCTTGCATTTTTTGTTTTGATCAATAAAAAAATTTATATTATTGCTACATTTTCAGTTCATTATCCTATTACACTTTTTTTTATCATAGTATATATAAAATCTATGTAAAGATGAAGTTCAAAAGTTGATTGATGATTTTTCTAACCTTAAAGTGAAGATGCTCAGTGAAATTTCTTTAATTAACTTTTTGAACTTTTGCAAGTTTAAACTTGCCAATAAAGGAAGGCAATTAGTATACAGAGATAAACTTTTAATGCATCAGCTTTACAGTAATAAGCTGAAAGAAACAATATCAGGTATCTACCGATTATTCAAGCTAAATAAGAAGATATGTACTGTAGATGACCTTTTGAAATTTTCAGGTGATAATTTAAAAACAATGTGGAAAAAAAAGTTTACGAGTAAAGAACTAAAAGAGGCTTTAGAAATATTTCAGGTATGGTCACTTAACTTTAGCCTCTATGTTAGAAATAGCATTATATCCATGATTTTTTGCATAAGCTAGCTATTGCAATTCAGCCTTATAAACTTTCATAATTCCACAATATAATAAGAAACTGGATAATTTTCAATATAATTTCCACTGTGTAACTCAACATAAAAAAACCAGTTTATTAGATGATCAAGATTTAGTTGTTTGCAATATATCATCTAATATCTTGTGTATTCTAAGCGATAAAAACTGGTTGTTTTATGTCAAGGAGAATTTGGGTGTTTGCAATATATCATCCAATATCCTTTATAATTTCTATGATTTGCATGATAAGTTTGTTATCTTTGATTTAAAAGATAATATACTTTTATAATTTCACATCGTAGATTTTACTGATTGCAATATATATGAGAGGATTTTGACTGCAGCACCTTAATTAAATTTTCGTTACCATATCATTAATATTTATAACTATTTCGAATTTATAGAACCAAATCGAAAATGGTGACTACAAGATTCTTCAGTTTTGGGTAGATATTACAAAACCACATGTTGGTAAGATTTCAAGCACAATCCCAGATTGAATTTCTTTAGCGTTAGTATTAATTATATACGGAATTTTA